CAATCTCTAAACATCACCAGTATCTGTTGTCGAGACAAAGGTGAAGGACACCTGAGCAACGCTACGTATATGAAGAAACATAACATAAACCAAAACAAGCTACCAGTTAAGTTTCAAAATTTCATTCTTTGATTGTATGGACAGAGGAGACTCAAACTAGCCACTTTAAATATTAAAATAACCTCTATCTTCATCAACTATTAATTCCATACATTGACAAGATAATGAATAAATACTTCACCAGTAAAATTGTTCTTTTTCATCATTTATATTATCCACACTCTCATTTCGAAAAGAGCAAAAAAAGTAAGACAATTTTCACTATGTCTTTCTAAGTCTGAAATTCTTAAATTATTCATGAATTCTCCTTTACAATGTATAATTGTAATCTTTGCAGTTCTAGTCATCTTCTGCTCATTTTATCGCCAGAAAGATCTAGAGAAGGGCAATGAGTTACTTCCTAAGGTAATCCTACCATGACTAAGCATCCAAACCAACTACAGATTTTTTGACCAGGACACCATTGGTATATCTAAGAAGCCACAGATTACTGTTTTTAACAAGCGTGCAGTGTAACGTTTCCACAAACCAGATGAAGACCGCTTTCATGGCCCCACAACTACCAGAAACTTATCAATCACTGCATAAAAACCATTCTTCTCAACAATCACCAAAAAAATCACAAACTGTAAATAGCTTTTAATTTCTGTTAAAATAGCTACTTTAACAAACATTAGTCTGGACACAAAAGCAACTGGCAATACAGCAATATTAATTTAAAAGCCCATTCCTATTGAATTGCCCCATTAAGATAGCGTTTGGAAAGAACAACAGACCTTGCTGCAAGAAACGTTCATCATTTGGCTTTTTGTTTTTGCCTCCCCTGTCCCCCCCAAGCTCCTCTTCCTTCCCCATAGAAGGAAGGCCCTATGAGTTCAAAACCATTAGCACACAGAGTAGTATATGTGTCTCGAACTAATGAACATTGCCTCATCATCTAAGCAGAAGCTTGGACATAATGAAATGATTCTGAGAACTGTCTGAACAGTTCAATGAGAAATTATTCATACAGGTATTTTTGAATAAAAATCAATAACCAGGTATGTCAACTTTTAATATCGTGTGCCTCTAAATTTGAGGCATAGATTCCTCATAACATTCTCTGCTTTTCTCAACAAAAAAAAAAAAAGTGGCTTTTGCCTGAAAGAGAAAAATGGAAGAGACATTTATAAACACTTTTAAAACAATCAGCTATAGTAGCTCTTGAAATGATCAATTTTTTACTGTAGCAAAGAGCTTGAGAATTAGTACTAGACAGTTAATTGTTTCTTATTTCACTGATACGCTGTCCTTTTTAAGGCTCTAATAAATCTTATAAACTCTATCGAAGGATCTGTAAACACTTCTAGCCAAAAGTAAACTGGAACCCCGATGTAGTATTGGAAGACAGTGGCAGATGCCAGTTTTTGCCTTACTTCCTCCAAAGGAATCTTCCACAGAAGAGAGAAGTATGCCTGTGTAAATCTATCCAAGAATTGGAGTCTGCTCGCACAACAGAAGCAATCATTATAGTCCATTCAGTCACCATTCTGTTGTATAAGTTAAAAAGAAACTGTAATTAAATCAGTCCTTTAAAAATATACATTTTATTTAGGTACATAAAGCAACATCCGCAAGACAATTTTATATTAAATATATTCTGCAGTCACTTAAAAATTATGTACAATATAAATTTAATGTACAAAATACCTTGAGGGTATACAGTCTGAGCACTAGAAGTAGTATGTCTATGTAGTTTAATATCTTCCTTTGTACATACACATGCGGACACAGACACAAGTACTTTGACAATATTAATATATGAATTCTAAAGCAAATAGAGCTAACCCCTATTAAACACAAAGATATACACTAACTGCAAAATGGGAAAAAGTCATTGTTTTAAGCACAAAAATAGACAGATTTAGTTAACAAAAACTTTAACATTCATTAGGCAGAAGCACTTCAGTGCAAAGACCATATACACAGATCTTATACAAAAACACCATATACCATAATATTATGCAGCAATCTTGGAAAAATTAAAACTGCCACTGATCACACAAATCTCATTCTCATCAAGGAAATTAACATACCTGTTTCATTTAAAAAAGCAGATACAGTAACACATTACCTTTTGTTTGTAAAACCAAAACTGTGAAATTCTCCACACATTGAAATCACCCCTGTTGAAAATTAATTGGAATTCAGGCTTATCCATCACTTACGTACTTTTGCAGTCTTCAGCCTGCAGGTTTGTACTAATTCAAGGTTTACTTCAGGATTCAGGACTGCACATTGAAGAAAATCCCTCCCCCCTCCCCCCCAACAATGCCATCAAATATTTATATAGGAAAATCCAGCTACCTAACAAGACCCAAAGTTGTTTGTTAAGAGACCGATCCTCCAGTAAAATCCATGCAAAACATACTATGCTGATGACCTCTGGCTTCAGCCGCTTGTTCAACACTTTATCTACATGAATCCCATGGCAAAACACAGTTCCAAATAGTACTTGTATATACTTTCCAATTGCATTCACAGGATATAATTTAGGTGTATGTTCAGCATTTGGCTCTAAAATTGTTAGACGCGCTAAGAAGTTTTGGGCCAAGAAGAACAGTCAGGGGAATGAGAAAACAGACCAAAACAATGAAAAAGTTAAATAAGAAGAATACAAGAAAAGATTTGGGAGGGAAAAAAAGCTATTCCATGAAAATTTAAAAGAAGTTTGTATTAGAAATCTCTGTCTCCAGAAACATTAAGGAGGGCCCCAAGAGTATTTGGAACATAAGAAAATCAAAACATCTAACAGCATAGCAAGGCAGGACTGTTATCAAACTTTGCACTTTAACAAATCAGAATTTCGCTACCAGAAGAATACACCTCATTTTGAAAAACTAAGCATTAATTTTATACACTCCAAATAGGACCTCTCATCTAGATGGGGAAAAACAGACTTGCGCTTTTAAGCGGAGGAAAGTTCGTACTTAGACCAACTGCAGAAAATGGGTTGCTGAAAATTATTACGTATTGTTCAAAAAGTAGAACTAGCTATGAAGACTTATTAATTATACAACCAATATACAATCAGTATCAGCCAGACTTCCCCAAAGTTCCATATTCTCTCAAATCTTAAACAGGAATATGACATTCTATCCGAGAAGGCTTGAGAAACTACTTGGATACTGGTTTATGGAGGAAAGGGAGGTCCTCAGGCAAAGGGAGAAGTAAATCAATTCTGCTCTTGAACTCATCAGAACACAGTATGTACATCAGACTATATTTACACTTCAATCTTTTAAGGCACTTAAAATATGCAAGAATACGGATGGCTAGATTTAAAAATATGTCATCTAGAACATAAACACTGCAACACTGTCATTATACAAAACTTTTATTAGTAAGGATAAGAAACATGAAGTCCATTCAAGAGGTCCGAGGTCAACCTACTATAAAAAACTAAAAGTCTATGCTATTCATAGTCCTTAAATGAGACTACAGCGAAGTGTCAACCAGACAAACAAGCACAACGTACAGAACAGGAAATTTGTACCTGAGAGCACTGGAACATGTTTTGTTTTTATTTAAAAATAAAATCATAGTGCAACCTGAAGTCAGGAATAAATCTAAGCTTCTGTCACTTTTTGACACACCATGCTGAACTAAAATGAGATTTAAAATCGAACCTGCTGCTCCATATTAGCTGCCAACTTTAGGATGGATAAACATATGGCAATATATGAACAAATGTATTCCTTTACTTTACTGCACATCATGGAAATTGGAGACATTGAAGGTTTATTAAAAATAATTAACATGTACTAACACTTAAGTTGAAACATTCATGCAGTTACTGTTTTGCCTAACCAGAGGCAGAATCTGGTAAGTGTCAACTAAAAAATTAAGTCTAAAATGGCCTGACTCTGATCTTCAATCTCAAGTTTCAAAGCAAGAGTCACAGACGTCAACAATAGAAGAGAATACATTTCCATTACTAAGGGAGCTTTCTCCAAAATAGACGAGACAAAGACAAAGAGCACCTCAGCTTTGCCTGAAATTGTTTTCTTTTCCCATTAAGCAAAGACTCTCATGCCAAAACTGAAAGAATTGTTATGTCAACGCTTCTCTGGAGTCTCCAGACTCCAGAATAAATCACAGAATCCTACTGAAATTTCTCGTAAAACATATGTTACACGGAACACCTACAAAACAGGTGTTCTAAAATTCTCAACATCCCATTTTGACACCTGACAGCAAAGTGAAGGGTTGGGAACACACAATTTTAGCTAAGTGCTGCCCGGCGAATTTGGTCCTATCAAAAGCTATACACATCCTATCGCAAGCACAACATTAAAAACTGAGGTTAGTGAGGCTTTTAAAAATTGAAGGTAATTGTGTGCAACACTGTAATCATAATAAGCACAAAAGAGAACAGTGACATCAAGTGAACACATCAACTTTGAGACTGATAGTTTAACATCAGATCTTACCAGGAAATTTAGCTTTAAGAATAATTAATAAAATAAATCTTTAACATAAACAGAGCTTCCCTCTCCCCAAAATATACACCAGATAGTAAAACTAATGATTTTTAAAAATAAAAATTCCGTGTTCTTCCCAATGAAGTGTATTTTGAACACTAAGAAAGGTGTTTAAAGTCTACTGGTGTTTATAGAAGTTTATACAAGCAATTTCTATATACTGATGTTCAAGACTTTATAAAAGTTAAAAATGTTAAATTGTCAGTGAAAATTAGGCAAAAATAAAGAAATCCAGTGCAGCAGCTTAAAAGTTCACATACAAATTTGTTACCAAACAGTAAGAACTGGCTTATGGATAATTAAAAAAATAAACAATTTTAATTCTGGACTATAAATAGATCCCATATAAAATTTATTTCTTAAATTTTTTAAGATACCAAGATATGAACACTGATTCTTTCCCATGCTTTGTACTACTCTCTTGTAAAGGCTCTTTTTTGGTTAGCTTTCACAATATCATCAGGAGATGCTGATTTGAAGTCAAACGGTGTTATGGCTATTACAGGACCGATTTCCTTGGGTTTTACTTCTTGCACTTGTCTACTGTATAAGAAAGTTTTATGCATAGCAACCGTGCGCCGCTTGTAACCTTTCGGAGGATAACGGAGACACAAGGTTAAAGCAAAAGGTGAAGGTCTTGCACGCAGTGCCTTCATCCACGAAAGGGATAAATCATGCCTCTTGGGAATAAGCCCTCTTTTTGGTTTTTTATTTGTTTTAGCAAAAATAGAACATTTCCCTTGCTTCACATTTAAAAGTTTAGTTTCTGGGATTAAGGTGTTTGATTGTCCTACTACATTTTGTTCTGCTGATACATCTGCTTTTTTCATAATACCACTTAAGTCAATGTTTGTTCTTTTAGAGGGCCTCATCTCAGTTGCACTGAGCATGGAGAAGTCGTTTCCGTGTTGAGTTTTATCTACTTCAATAGTCTCTGCAATTAAATCTGACAGTGACAAATTCTCAACTTCCTTTACTGGAGAAACTTTGGAGAGGGCCAGAGAAGACAAAGATCCTGTTAGCTCTGGCATCGCACCTGAAGTCTGAGGTTGACTTACTAGTTGTGAGGTTCCCAATTTCACATCTGGAAGACTTGCTGTTGACTGAGTATAAAGATCAGCCAAAGAATAACATCGACTTGCACTGCTTCCCTGATGCTCCTGAAGCAAGTCTGCCAGTGATGTACTTCCAGACTTTGACACCGGCAAAGCAGCCATCTCTAAAGAGGGGCTTTCTTGTTTTCTACCTTGTACAAGTGAAGAAAAATTTTCAAGAAGTTCATTCTTTCTACTTACAGTATGACTGACTTCATTATCAAGAGCCAATTTTCCTAAAGCACTCGTTAAACAAGGAGGACTATGAGAATTTGCATTACTATCACAGTCAGAAGTACTTGAAGAAACAAAAGGCATGCTGTCGTCAAGACTCAGAGACTCACAAATCACATTCTGCATCAGCAAGGATTTTAAGTCCTGTGTTTCCTTGCGTTCTGGCTTCTTAAAAGAAGAACTTCCAGATTTGTTACTTCCTATACTAAAGTAAGCGTTTTCACTGTCAAGAATCAAACTTACTGCGTTAGCACTTTCTGGTAGTTGAAACTCTGCCTGTTTATTCAGAGGTTCATATAATGATCCTTTAACCAAACCATCACAGAAAGAAGATGACAGAACAAGTGAAGAGGATTTCAATTTTTTCTTTTCAGATAAAGGTATATTGGATGTTTTAGCATTAAGGAGCATTTTGTCATTTGTAACTAAAGAGTAACCACTTTTGGCTCTCAGGTTTCCAAGCCTAGATGTGTTGGTGTTGTCAGCAACATTTTCTGATGCACAAGAGACATTGTCTGTATTAATAAATATTTCTGGACAATAAAGTAAGTCTCCTTACCTTACAATAGCCAGTAATTTTCAGATGGAAGCATGGTCACAACGAAATATCCATTTTTTTTTTTAAAGTAGACAGCAGCAGCAAAATCAAGAAGAAACAGGGAAAGGCATTTAATTACTAAATGTTACTGAAAGATACGCATTATTCTACAATTACAGAATCACAGAATAGTTGAGGGTGGAAAGGACCTCTGAAGATCATCTGGTCCAACCTCCCTGCTGAAGCAAGGTCAGCCAGAGGAGGTTGCCCAGGACCCTGTCCAGTAGGGCTTTGAATATCTCCAGGATAGAGACTCCACTGTCTCTCTGGGCAACATGTTCCACTGTTCAATTAAATGATGGATATCTACTCAAATACCATGGAAGTTTAAAAAAAAAAAAAAAAATCAGCAAAGAAATGCCAGTACAGATTACCAAGGTTTACATATGAATCAAAACAAGAAATTTACTGTATAAACACTATCAAAAAAGGAGAGGTATCAGGGGGAGGAAGGGGGAAGGAGGGGTCTCGGCTCACCAAAGAAACAATAGAAGTGCATAAAGCTTTAAAACATGTTGACCAAATTCTGGGACATGCATTTACACAGCTGAAGTCACATTTCAGAAGACTTTTAGAAGAAATTTACTGTGAACTGCAGACGGTTGCTTACAGTTTGCATTTAAGATGAGATTAAGGTTTTATTCTGACTTCCAGCTCAAGAAAAACTGCTTCCTTTAAATGTTTTCAGAACACAAGCATTTAGAAATAGAATAAGATGGTCCTACTTAATTTTCTCATAAATGACTAATGCAACGAGCATCTTCACAGCTTTTAAAGCCGAAATTCAACTGTACATAGAAATGAATCATCCTGAAGCCAAACATAATTAAATAGAAGTGTACCTTTTGTCATCTTTCCTATAATCACGGCGTCCTCATTCTTGGTCTTCATATTTTGCTTACTGTCTTGTGAGAGCACAAGATCCAAAGCCTTCTGTACATCAAATTGACTATCCAGTACGGCTTGCACCATTGTTCGCTCTGGTACGGACTCTCCCAAAACTTCTCTCATTTGATCAAGGCATGAATTAAGACGGGCTAAAAGAGATATATTACTGTTATAAGCTACAAAAAAAAAATGTTTTAATAAAGTGGTCTAACCACTAACACCATATATCTGATAACAGAAACTGGAGAGAAATATCATGTCAGGAGATAAAACCTTTATAAAGTAATTTCAATTTCACATCTTTCCATAATAGGCTTTACCCCCAAAACCTGGAGAACATTGGATTCATTTAAAATATTGCTATATGGAACATATCATTAACTACCATAAATTGATCACTAAAGTCTCAACAACGAAATAATATGATGCTGTAAAATTAACTAGCTTTACTGCTGAGAAGCGGTGCAAGTCATCTCTTTAAAATTTTTTTGAATGATTTAGTAATTCAATGTGGAATTCAATTTAACAGCAAAATTTAAGTGTTTTCCGATGCTATAATTAACATCCAAAGTAAACAGCACTTTTTCAGGCCTCACGTCTTAACAACAGAAAAACTCTAAATATTAGTGACTCTGGATCAACACTAGCTCCCAAATTACCTGCAGTCTTTACCTCTCCTAGAACTGTAATACATTTTTGAGGTCATAAAATCCATTTTTCTTTGTAGCAGGTTTCTGTAATCCTATCAAAAACATTATTGAATGTAAATGGAAATGAAAATTTCAAAAATCTTAGACAATCAAATCCTACCATGAAGATATATACCAAAATTGTTTTCAGAATTTGAGCAAAGCTTACTTAAGGAAAAAGAGATTACACTAAAAATAAGCTCTCAATAGTTTTGATAAAGAAGTTTTCTCAAACATCTTTCATTTTTCGATTTAAGTCTTGTGAGATAAACAGTAAATTAATGCTTAATTTCTCTTCAATTGTCCCTCTGACAACCTCTTTTTTTAAAGCAAATATTTATACAGTTCAGTAAATAAACTTCCTTATCTTAAAGTAGCCAGGAAGAACTAGTATAAATCTTGACTAAGATCGGTTTCTCAATATTCTTGACTTTTCACACAGCCAGAGACTGAAAATTCACCAGGCTGCCATTCACGGAAGTAGGGTCCTGATCAGACATATAAATGCTACAACAGAAGAGAAGAAACCCCCCTTGAATGTCAGTTTCTGACAGTTCAGATTTCAGGAAGGTTACTCAACGCCACAAAGACAGATTCTTTATTTGAAAACTTTGTCAATGATGGTAAGTTTTAAAGAATGTTGCTAAGTGACTTCAATACCAATTCCCACTTCCACAAAGTTACTTAAACCAGCACCCTCGGTCCATACCCAAACAGCAAGTGAATTTTCCCCAGACATTTCCTCTGCAAAACAAGTCCTGGCAGAGCATGCCACAGAATGAGCTGGTCAGCCATTTTATTATCCAGCACTCAGTATGAACACACTTGTCAAACTCTTTGCAGCTAGATTGATTACAGTCAATAATTTTGTATTAATGGTCAGCTCTGCCACACTGTTTCCCAATAACCTGCAACTATACTGAACAAAGCACATATGTTGGCACCACTGCCATTAAGACAGCTTTTGCAGCAGATATGGTTGTCTAGGTTTCTCTTCTATCTTTCCAAGTCCAGAATACAACTTTCCTTCTTGTTCCAATACCATTTAACTCCTTAAATAGCTGGTGGATCTTGTCAAAAGCATTCTGAAAATCCGTTATGCTATAATACAGTCATATTTACCACCTGCTTGCTGACTCTTTCAAATCGACTTCTGCAGCATTATTTCCTGCTACAAAAACATGTGGATTACACTGCAATTTATCACGTTTTTTACGTGTCTACGCATTGTCATAGCTTCTACCAATACACTAGATACTGAATCTAGAATTGTGTGCTGTTTCAGAACTTCCTGAAAGTTCTAAATATTAAATTTGATTCGTCTATTTTATTGCCTAGTCATTCAGCAACATGCTTTATTCTGTGCTTATTAACATGGTAACAATAATCCTGATTATTCCCACAAAAATCACAAACTAAGTTAGCTATTACTACTTAGGAAAGAGAGTTGGGCATCTTCTTCATGAAGTATGTAATCAAGCAATCAGTCAGTAAGTTTAAAAAACAAGTATTATCCCCTCCATATAGAATTCAGCTTGTAATATGGAATTCATGGCTGCACGACTGAATGGAAACCAAAGTCTAATGGGTTCAAAACAGGATTAGACAAGATTGTAAAGGATACAGTTATCCAGAGCTACTGAGTAGTGACTCAAGGAAGCGTCTGACTTTGGAACCCTGACAAACACTGCCAAGAACTGCCATAACCTGGAAGGCCTTACAGCCAAAAAATCATTATTCAAATACTCTGTTTCTTATACTCTTCCTGAGGCATCCATTTGTGGAGTCAGGTTATTGAGCTACACGGACACCTGTTCTAAGCCTGTACACAGGTGTTCTTATGTTTGAATTTCTTATCACATCTCATTTCCAGAGAGAAACTCAGAACATATTCCAGACTGTGCAAGCAAAATGAAGTAATATACGAAGAGGTAGTTAACAGCTTGAAGAGTCATTACTGAAGAGGTGTTTCTTAGAGTACTCCACCAACTATACTCATGGTGTTGTTCTAGTATGAGATTTCAAAACGGTGAGCAGTTTAAGTCAGTCAAGTAACAAACACTAATTTAAGACTATTTCAGTAAGTCTTTACAATGTAAGAGAAAATGCTCTCAGGAGAATTATTACTCTTCTGTAGTTACCTTTATCAACTCCAGCCAACTGATGATTGGTTGTAAAGTAACCAGCAGTATCTTCTGTACCCTCATAGCCATATTCCTCTTCTAAAGGCTCAGCAAATGCTGGTTTGTCTCGTCTTGAGTAGATAAATTGAGCTGCTACATTAGGAAAAAAACAAAGTATTAAATACATTTCTAATATTTTCCTTCCTTTAAAAACAAAAGCTATCTACAGACAAAAAGTTAGGATGCTAGCCTGTTGCAATGATTTGGGGGTTGGGAGTGGGAAGCAGGAAGGGATAACATCACTGTATAGTGACGGCGACCTGAAGACCGCACAGAGCATATAACACTTCACGACAGAATATTAATACCAGTAGGTCATCACTAGAGTGAAAACACCACAGGCTGAGCAATATCCTTGTATGTTTGTAGTCAGGTTAAATTCAGCTGGGCTGAGCCACTCCACTTAACGTCTGACCTGAACACACAGCGTCACTATTTGTGCACCTGCTTCATAACGTTCCAAATGACCATCCGTTATCCACGGTAACACACTTGCATGACTAAAGACACAGATAGTTACGTAACGTGTCTTTCAAAAGCACAAAGATCCCGAGCGCTACTTAACCAACTTTAACAGGAGTTAGAAAGCTAGGCACTTTTGAAAGTTGCACTAGCTGCCTTTAGATAGTACTTTCCTCTAGAAATAAATAATAATTTTATTGCAGTTCTTCAACCTAAAAATCTCTCTGCGCTACTTAGTCAGCTGTGCATCAGTTAATATTTTAGTTATTTTCCTCATCAGCAAACTGAAGTGGTATGTATATATTCTTCCAGGTTAATCAAAGTAGGAATCAATGGACAATGCCAATATGTAATCATTTGAACTAACCTGTTGACGGAGAAATGCAGTAATCATCTTCTACTGATTGGCCATACACATCATCATCTTCAAAATCTAAGAAGTAGAGAGAGTAAGATTAATCCATGCAAATTTTAAATACTTAGAAAGCCAAAGGATGTTTTCTATGTAAGGTTTTAAGAAAGTTATTATGTATCTGCAGTATTCCAGAAGTGTTTATTTACCTAGGTAAGAAATTCTAGGTTACAATAATAGAACTTAAAGGTTCAATAATCTACTCACTATGAAAGCAGAAAAAGTTCAAGAGTTGCAATGTTTCACCATCCTCCTTCAGCATCTCCTTTGGAGACCTCCCTCACAATCCAAACCCAACTTTTTCCAGTCCATCCATGGACCTGTACTTCTCTTGATATTTCCACTTGATCTCTCAATACTCTTAAGCACAGACAGTTCAATTACAAACTTTACTCTACCAGTAAAGATCACCATTTCTGCTCCATACCTGTCTACCCCTCAACTTTTCTTTCTGATCTACCTTCAAGGCCAACTACATGAACTCAAGTTCAACAAGGCAAAAAGCCATTCATAATGCCCTCTGCCTACGTCAAATTGCTTCAGGCAAAAAGGAAGAATCTTATCCGGTTACTTAAATATAGCCATCATCTTTCCTCAATTCAAAAAGAAAAAACACAGCATCTTGACAAAATGACTTGTCAAATCTACGCTGTAGACGTCAATAATCAATTGCCAAAGAATAAATATGTACTTTTCCCTAGTAGGCAGAACTTTGATAATGCTACATAATAAAGTTTTGCTTTTGGCCTTTACTTTTAAAATCCATTTCCTATTTCTTTAAAGCTGTCACAGTATTTAATTTACTAGCTCTCCAGACCATTCTGGTCTGCTTTTCTTAATTTCAGTTTTTTCTTTTGTCTTTATGATTTCTTTGCATGTCATGCCTGAAATGTAAACAAAGACGGTACCTGTAGTCTCTCTTTTTTCTTCTTCTGTATGCTGCAGCTTTTCCTTTTTATTCCCTCATACAAGGCTTGTCCTCCTCTGACTAACAGATATTGTCACACCTGGCCTTTAAGTTCACCATAACCTTATACTACTACTTTTATGAGAATAAGAATTTTCTGAATTTCAGGAAAGAAAGAAATGAAGATGTTACCTTTAAAAGGTAACTCTCCAACAATTGCTGTCTACTGAATTGAAATTTTTCTTTTTTTTTTTCCCTGAATAAATAAGATTTAAAATGTCTTCATTGTCATAGTAACAACTAAATCCTCAGTAGAAAACAGTTTTTGGTCTTCTTTAAATGAATCACAATCTATGCACAAAGAAATGGACAAAGAACCGTAAGCCAAGACTTTTTGATTTTTTTTCTAATGACACTCATCTCCCGGTTCAATTTTCCATCTGTAAAATGGTAAAATATTACGGCCACTGATTAAAATAACAACATTTTGGATATGTGAGAGCTATAAAAACTTATTTAGCTAAGGGCACTACTATTAGGAATCACAATTACAAAGTAAATTATTCTCAATTAAAAAGTTATTCTAATATTATATCACCCTTAAAAATAATTTATTATGATGTTATGCAAACCTTGAAAATAAATTTACACATTTGTACTAATAATGAAAAATAAAAAAAAAAATCAAATATTTTTAAAGATGCTATTGCGATCTCACAAATACTCTTGGTGATCTCACAAATAATATACACTGTTATTTTAGAAGAATCAGAGGAACGAGTAGCTAAAATGCTAAAAAAAAGCCACACTCTGATATCCACTTTTAGACCACAGAACTGGGATGTTACAAACACTGCATCCATCTACAAAAAGCTCAGACTTAGCTGAGAAATGAAAGCTTCATTTGTCTCTCAATGTGAAATGAGAAAAATCAAAGTAAACTTGACTCTCTAATCCACTGTAATTTACCAAGAATAGTCTATAAAAAACAGTGACTAAAAGGACTGACACATTGTATGAGAAGTTTAGTGAAAGACCAGAGACCCAGGAAACTACTGTGGAAATTAAGTATGGGGGGCAAAAAGTATCCTAGATTGGGGGGGAAATCAACCTACTTTTTGACCATGTTGAAATGAATACATTGCCTCCTGGTTCCATAGGAGAATCACTTACTCTAGAAAGCAGTCTAAAGAAGATCAGCACAACTTTTTCAGGTAAGGACACCTTTCGCAGTTTGGCCAGGACTTGGAGAGCATCAAGAACTCCAGGAGGACTTTAGTGCACGGTTAAGAGAGTAACGAGTGAAATCAGAGCAAGTCTTTTGTCAACGCACATCATTTGAATCACTTGTACATCTCATACAATTTTAATTTCTAGACTAAGAAAAAGATTAATCTCTAAAAACTGTTCAGCTTGCAGCAACCATAAAAATAATTATTAGGTAATGGTACAAATCACAGATTAGAAAACAGAGAAGCGTTCCGCAATATCAACATCTACATCATGCCCTCAAGTGGAATACCATACTCAGTTCTGATCATACTGTCTGGAGGAGACAACAGAAACAGAATAATGTCAAATGTCAACAGAATAATGTCAAATGAAGCCCACAAAGAACTAAGATCTCAGAAGCCTTCCTATGGAAGGAGACCAAAAATAGTGCAAATATTTACTTTAGGAAGGAAAAAACTGAGCCAGACAAAGCAATACAGAATCAGAAGCGGCATTACAAGAACATCTGGCATTATATTAAATAAAAAAGAAGGCAAAAGTGGTTTTTGATAGACCTCATTTTGAACAGAAATTTTATTACAGAAGTGTAAAGAACACACATACACATCAAGGTTAACACAAAGTTTAATGCAATAATAGTTTCAGACAGCAACAGCAATTTAATACTCAAATGGTTGCAGCAAGATACTATGCATCTCAGCAATCTCAATAAAAAGTTTCTGATGAGTGTACAAGCGTTGAAATGAATTCTACAGGTTGGGCACTCAACTTCACAGTGGATAGAGGACATTCAGTTAAAATTGGCATTTCCGCCAACAGAGCAAATCTCAAGAGGGTGAAAGAATCAAGCAGTAAAATCCCCAAGCCAGTCTTAATACTGGCTGTATTAAGTAAACTTGCACGACCAAACTTGCAAGGTAGGCCAACTCCACAGATGCAACAAATGGTTTGCATGCGTTCAACTTATTCCCAAATAAGCTGTGAGAACACGGTGTACAACCCAGTTCGTGCAACTACAATACACGTACACACTTTGCACCTGTCCACTCAAGAGCAAAAGGCCAGAAGCAGACAGAAGTACATCTCTTATTTTTTATCCAACCTGACAAAGCCAGTCAACAAAATACCTGCACCCATACTAAAGGGTTCTTTAAAATCGTAGTACCAGCTAGAAATGCATTCATTTTTCCACATCCCAAGCCAGCACAAATAAAATATTTTCAAAAAAGGGGCAATTAACAGTTTGCCTAAGTTAATGGCACAGTGCACTAAAGAAAGCTGCAGCGGTGCATGTATTAGGTCAGTTCGTATTCAAGAGCTCGTTCATTCCATGTAAGCTTAAGTAAAATAAGACAGCAACATGTCTGAAAAACAGGTTTTTCACTAGACACCGACCTCCATCCTCAAGAGCTACATTCCTTCTATAAGGAATGGCCGTTGCCTCTTACCCATATCACAGCTAAACATCAGCAACAACCTGCTAAAGCGAGAGCGGGATCACAACCGCTTAAAAGACTAAAGAGGGACAGGACCCTTTTGCACTGGGGCTAGCTTTCCAGTCGTTCCCCCCCCC